TAAAAAAAACCCCCCCCCCCCCCCCCCCCCCCCCCTCAGGGTCAACAAGGGTCAAATATGTTGGCCGTCACTGTGTATGAGGTCTCTTGCTTGTGATGCATCAAGCTATTGATCTTTCCGACTTATCAATGTTTGAGTTGGTATCAATATCGTTTTTAGTAAATATGAACTTTCTTGCTTATGATGCAAGTGTGTACTGCTGTTGATCTTTCCGTCTATATCAATGTTTGAGTTGGTGTTCATAAAGCTTTTTGTCTTTTGAATTTTCTTTTCTTCAACGTTTATGCATTGTTATAATTTTGTCAATTTGAGGTCGAGTGTTTGAAGCTCCAAACTTTGATGTTTCTAGTTGTACTATTCATGTACATATTTTATAATTGACTATTGAGTGAACTGCATCTAGCACACTTGATTTTAATGGAGAGTCTATGATAGTTGTAAACGTGATCTTTATTATCAGTTCATCGATGGGGAGCCCCTTTATAAAGGATGCTGCAGAACCAATATTGGTGGATATCATGTGACTGATTCTCTGAAGCAACTTCTTTCACTCAAATATCCTCATCACATGTAAGTAGAATTCATTTCAGATATTTAGTGTGTGCGAAGTTGGCAAAAAAGAAAAAAATTCATAATTTTAGTTCATGCAAAAGGACCCAGTTCACGTGGGAGAAGGTTGAAGATCTGAAGATGGAGCATTGCTATATAGCTTCAGATTATGCATCTGAGGCTCAATTGTTTCAGGTAGCCTTCTTGGCTTTATTATTATCGTTATCATCATCGTGTGTATCCGTCCCTTCATTCACTTTGAATCCTATATCTATGAACAGAAAGGGACCAAGGAAGTAGAAGAGAAAACTAGGTGTTGGCAACTCCCATGGATTCCACCACCTACTGAAGAGCCTCCTTCAGAAGAAGAGATCGCAAGAAAGGCCGCTATTAAGGAGAAACAAGGTCAACGATTGAGAGAAATGGCTGAAGCAAAAAGATCTTCAAGGATCAATGAGCTTGAAAATGAAGTGCGTGGTTTGGAGTTTCTTTTACATCAGCTTGTGCAAGTGTCCGAGGTTGATATTCCATCCTTCTTGTCAGAGACTGGGTACGTCTCTAAGCAGGAAATTGAATCTGCTCTGACCAAAACAACACAATCTTTGCGGAAAGCAAAGGGTGAACGCAAGGATGATCAAGCGGAAACTGAGGATCATACAGATGCTACAAATGAAAAGTTTCATCTTATCAATGTCCCTGATGACATGTTGTCACCTGAACAGGTAAAATAAGGCTGTATATGCATGATAAACACCTGAATGTTTTAAACATTGATTCTTTTTTGTTGTTCAGCGCTGCCATACATTGTCTAAATATGATCGTTACGAGGATCCAAATGATATTAGTGCATTTCTTCATAAATGCTTCTCTTTTATAATTATTGAAATTCATGCAGTTTGAGTTTCTTGGCAGATCAAAGAGAAAAGAAGGCAATTGTTTCTCAAAACCACATCTGAAGGGCGGCAGCGCGCCAAGCAGAAACGTTATGAAGAAGAGTTAGAAAGAGAAAGGAGAAGCCAGCTGGATGAAGAAAGAAGAATGTATACACAATCTCTTCCTACCTTGCTTGCTGGAAGTTATCCATTATATATTTACATATATATTGTATGAAACTGAGCTTTTGTTTAGAGAAATCAGAGAAATGAAAGAATGCACAAGGGTGGAAGTTACCATTGTTCATTTGAATGGTTCATTATACTGGATTTCTATGAATTGATTTTTTAATATGCTTGTTTTCCCCTTTCTATTTCTTCCTTTGTAGGGAGAACCCTGAGCTTTATTTAGAGGAACTGTATGTCAAATACAAGGAGCTGTCTGAAAAAGTGGAGCAGCGAAAACGAATCAAGACTAATGGAGGCCATACAAATGGGAATAATTTATCTGGAGTAGGACGTGGTGAGAGACTGAATGCTGCCCAGAGGGAGAGGATGCGACTTTTAACGACAGCAGCCTTTGATCGTGGGAAGGGTGAGGACACCTTTGGTGCAAGAGATGAAGATTGGCAGCTTTATAAACTTATGAGCAAAGATAACAATGATGATGACGATGAAGGCCCAGATGAGGATGAAGCTGAATTGGTTCGTTTATCCTCTAGGCTCCAGGTCAGTCCCAACTTAGTCTGCTTTACCTATTTACTGATTTCAAGACCTTGGTCTTTAGTTGCTGAGATATTAAGTCTAATGCCTTGCTACTGTAATCAGGACATAGATCCCACTTTTGTTCTGAAGTCAGATGTTCAACCAACTGAAGTGCCAAAATTTCGTCCACTTACCAAGGAAGACTTCCAGATTGTTATGGGGGTTGAAAGGTTTCGATGCCCTGAAATTCTATTTCATCCCAACTGGATTGGAGTTGACCAGACAGGATTAGATGAAATGACTGGTGTCTCATTACGGAGATTGCCATCGTACAGTGATGATATTGCAGAAAGATTAACTAATTCAGTACTCATTACAGGAGGAAGTTGCCTTTTTCCTGGCATGAGGGAACGCTTAGAGGCTGGAATTCGGATGATCAGGCCATGCGGGTCGCCTATTAGGGTGGTCAGAGCATTGGATCCAGTTCTCGATGCATGGCGGGGGGCTTCTGTTTATGCTGCTGCTTCACAATTCACAACACAGACTTTCAGTAGGATGGATTATTATGAGAAGGGCGAGGATTGGCTCCGCAGATACCAATTACGGTACTCACTTTAAGTTAAGTTTAAGTTCGTTGATGGCTGCTGTATCCTTGACAATCCATGTTTAGTAGATGTATACTACTTCCTACCCCATGATCTGACATGCTTTGCATATAATGTCGATAATCAATCCATATCCTTTGCAAATTACCTGGAGTTCCACCAGCCCGTGTATTTATTCTTAATTTTTAGGTGAACGTTTCATTTTCCACTCTTGGTACTTCACTAATTGTGCAAGTTAAACTCCATTCATCAAAGCATTTTCATATTTAGCTACAAAACTTCAAGTATAGGAATTTAATGATACTGATAGACTACAATAGAACTGAATACATTGAATGTCTAATAAACACAGAAAGAATTCTGTTAGAATTTTATTATTACAAGAATCATATTTACAAATGACAACTCTTCCCAAATGGGAAAGCTAAACAATGAATCAAAGTGTGAAATACAAGAAATTAAAATCATGCTTACAATTTGTCTTCCTTGATTGATTACAGCAAAGTGTCAAATGTAGCTACTATTCCTTTTTACATTATATGGCAAATTTCTTTTAGACGGCAAGCCTAACTGCTGGAGCCCTCAATGGCCTTCACAACTCCAGCTTGATGAAGCTTGCCGCTGTGTTGCTTTGCCTGATGTTGCGACCAGTAAGCATGTGCAGCCAGCACTCGATCCAGGAGTTCTTGTGGGACAGGCTCGCCCCTTCTCTGCTGAGGTGATATTTTTGCCGTGTGAACCAAGGTTTTCCATTTATCCTGCAACACATCCTCATCAGGTTAAGATTTTATTTCAACAGTAGTAATGGATCACACTAACACATGTTTAGGAGACGGAACCCCACCTTCAAATCTACGTAAGTTCGGTGATCTGCATTTTCAAATGCTCGGAATTTAACATCCCGCCACCTGCAAAAAGGAAACACACAGTTTGAATTGGTTTAAACTCATGCCTTGCGGTGAGTTGGATTGTGTTGTTAGAAAGCATTGGCAAACCTTCCAGTTCCTAGCTCCTCAATGGCCTGAACCAGCGCTTCTACTTCTGAAACGGAGAAGGGTCTCCTCGTTCGACGCTGTACAGCTTCTGAACGCTTGGATTTTGGATTCAAGGGAACTACAGCTAATGCTTCCATAGTCATGTCTGGAACAGGAACCAAAGCTTTGCAATCTTGTAAAGAATTGTCAGGTAACTTGTCAATGCTGGTAGTAATCAGTTCATGTCTATTTTCATCTTGGTTTTGAGGGTTGGTCAATATAGTATTAGGTAAGGCGGCATCTAGTATTCCCGAGCTCGAAGGATTTACAGGTGAGCTGTAAAGAAATTGACACGGCATGAAAATTTTAGGTACTCCGAAATCTCAAGATGGAACGAAACAATAACCTAGTTGTATGTTTGAATGTAATGGTAATACCTGGGTAGAAGTTCAGTCATGTCACATGCTAATATCTGAGGGGGATCCTCAGAACACAAAGGCAGAGTAATATTATGCACGAGATTTGGCTCCAGAGTGAAACCAACGGTATCCAAGTTATCTTTACAAGAAAGCCCTGTCTGCAACAGGGTTCTGTTGTCATCTCTAACCTTATTCCCGTGAACGAGAACCCCAACGCGTAATCCATCCTTGAGAATAGCAGTTACTGCCTCAAGTACTATCTTCTGGAGAAAGTTACAGAACTTATATTAGTTTTATATACAAATGGATGGCTTCTTGGCACTTTCATTGACAGAAAGTTGTTACATTTTGTTTATAAGTTCAAAAGAGATCAGGTGAACTGCACTTTATTTTACCTTCAGCGACCCAACAGTTGCGTTTTCTGGGATATCAATGAATAGCTCTGGCACCTTGAATGATCTAATGCTAAATTTTACTGTTGAACAATCAAGCAGAGCATATGATGAGAAACCAAGTTACCAAATGATGTTAAGATGCAACGGATCGTTCATACCATGAGCATCTTTGGAGTGGAAGGATGCTTGTTGACCTGATGGTGTTGACACACTTGCTGCACATGTAGAGGAAATTTATTGAGATTACTGGGGAACAGAAATGTAGTTTTACTGGTCCTAAATGGACTCTATATTCAAGCAAACAAGTTAGCTATGGACCTCCGTGCAATATTGCAGCTAATCCAGACTTATCGACGTTGACGCTCTTTTCGGGAGAGTTGGTTACGCTTTCACTGCTCATTCCTCCATCAGAATTCATTATGGAGCTTCGGTAGACAAATCTTCTCCTTTTGTAAAGACTATCACCCTGGCATCTCTCACCGTTGAAATACAGCTTCCTCTTGCGAAAAGGATTTCGTGCTTCTTCGTCTATAGGTTCTGATACGAAAGCGAATCAAAAGTTACAAACAGATTTCATAACGAGCGAACTACGTCAAAAACTCAGAAAATAAACTCACCAGATCTAGGAACCTCACAGTCCTTCAGCTTTGGAGCTGCTTTCCAGTGTTTGGAATTCAGTAATTTCCTTATTCGTCGGCCTGCAATTCGTGATGGAGGTCTAAACGAGTTCGAGTGGATGGTAGATTTATTGGACCTAAATTTTTCATCTTCATCTCTACTTGCTAACTTAAAGTAATTCCTATATCTGGAGAACGAACTACGAATGGCATTGGTCGACAAGGGCAATTTAGTTTTGAAGCTTGAATTGGCTGAAGTTGGTGATTTCCTATGGGACTTGTTCAGATCCTTAGAATTGTGGGAATCAGCCATATTTGGAAACCCAATTCCAAATCCCTTGGCATCATGTGCTTCTTCATTTACAATCTTCATACCAGTTTCAGTTGATTCTACAAACTCAGGGGAGCCTTCCTCCGGTTTAGCGCGATAATCTTCGAACTCCGTCTTGCGAATCACAGGCGTAACATCGCCACAGGCCTCGCCTGAGCTATTAGAATTTACGACTACTGAAGTACAATCCAAAACAGTATCATTATCTACATATTGGAGTTTCTTCAGATTTTGTTTCTGATCAGTGTTTTCTAAACCAAGATCACAGCTTTGACTGCTACCACCATCACAGCATTCCACCTTGAAAGCTCTCTCCTCGTTCGACTGTTCTTCCTTGACGACGTTTGTGCCGATCACCGAGTGATCTCCATCAGACGTATTACTACATGCCGTGCTCTCACCATCCTGCAGAAGCTTCCCTGCTAAAGAAGCCAGCAGTTCAATTGCGCAGATCTGGCCATCCTCGAAATCGTTCTTTCGATGAACCCTCTTCTAGAATCAAGGAGGACAAGATTTAAGTGGCAATTCAACAAATCAGAGAGTTATAGAAAGAGATCTGAAGATGCAATTTTACTCACCCTAAGAGATCTCGGACCTCTCGGGACGGTCCAGTCCGAAAAGCTACTGAATCTGTTATCCAGTCTCTTCTTCATCACCATGTCTTAGGCATTCATTGTGATAAAAACTCATCAAACACACAGAGATTCGCCAGTTTCACTGCCAATCATCAAAACAACCGACCAAAATCATTCAAATTTGAAATTCCAGATTCAGCAAAAACTTCGGATTGGGACGAAAATGTTGCACTTAAATTCATAACGACAGCAAGAAAAAAATAAAACAGATTTAGAAATCAAAGAACATTCAAAATTTCAATGTCACAAACTTATAGAACTGGAAATCTGGAGCAAAGAGATCGAAGTTTCAAACAGAGATTAAAGAAATGAAACAAATAAGCAAAATTCAGAATTCGGAATCAAAACCCAATTCCAAAACCACCAAATGAAAACATCCGATTCATAAGTTGCTTGCTTCAAGAACATACAACCAAACAGAGAGCATCGGATCAACCGAAACTAAACCAATTTCAGAGAATTCAACTTCGAGAAGAAAGTCAAATCCACAGGATCCGATCTTAAACCCATCATAGCTTCCCAACTTCAGACGATTTCTGAAGAACCAATTGTTCATAAATCCAACAGAAATGACACAGAACAAAATCCATCCAACAAACATCAGAATTCATACAGATTCCCATATTTTGCGAGAACCGAAAAACCCGAAGAACACGACCCAAACAACAAAATCTAAACTCCGAAATTCTCTGTGCAAACCGGAAAAGAAAAAAAAAAAAAAAAAACTCACCGGTAGAAGGAGGATCCAAATAATTAATTCCAACCCAAGATCCAAGTTGGAGCTCAGATTTCAAAAAAGAAGGTAAGAAGAAGGTAAGAAGAAGAATGCAGCAAAATTAGAGGAAATTGAAAGAGGAGATCCAGAATCCATTACAGGAAGAAGGAAAGAGATCCATGAAATTCCGAAGAAGAAAATTCAAAGATGAAAACGAGAAATGATTTCAGCGGGTAAAAAAATCGCAGAGGAGAAAAACCCCGTTTCTTAATTGTTCAAAATTTAAAAAAAAAAAAAAAAAAAAAAAAACCAGGAACATAAACTCTCTCTAAAACCTCTTACAGCATATATCCTCAAATGTTTGACCACGAAACCGGAACATCCGGTGCCCATCCATCGTCCTTACCGGCTATATCCAGTTAAACCCACCAAAACCCTTTTCTTTTCTTTTCTATTCTTTTCTTTTCCCCGTGAGGCTGCTTCTTAACGTAATAACTCCCACTTCCTCCAATTACCTTTTGACATGTGGCACCCTCCTTTCCCTATACGCAACTTCCTTAAAAAACTTTTCCCCAACCAAAATAATTAATTAAACATTTAAATATTTTACAATCAAAATCCAAATTTTTTCATAATAAAATTAAATTTGATATTTTTGTTTGTTATATTAATTGGGTTTTTAAACATATAATTAAAGAAACAAAGTACGAGTAATTAGAGGGATTACGTACGAAAATAATAAAATTAATTAGAAGATGTGCATTCTCTCGTCACATTCAAGGTTGAGTGTGGAATTTGGTGGACCTAATCTTTAAATAATAATTATATTCATAAATTTATTTTAGGAAAAAATTAGAATAAATAAAAAAAAATAAAAAGAGAGATAATTTAAGAAAATTTGAAAATGATGTGGTGAAGGGAGAGGGCATAAGAGTATGGAGAATCGAGTGGACCAAAGTGGTTTGCGGATATCCCATTAATTTTCTTAAACTTAATAAATAAATAAATAAATAAATAAATAAATAAAGGTTGAAAAATTAATTTTTTTAAAAAAAAAGAAAAAGAAAATAGGAATTTGCATTATCCGTGTGGGACACGTCTCGTCCATACAGGTGGATAGATAAAGCGCGCTTTACTATACGCCAATTCTTATTTTATTGGATTACACCCTTAGTCTCTCTCCACGTGTTCTTGTGGGCCCCACCTGCAATTCTCATCCACCCGGTTATACGGTCGGGTTTCCACACAATTTGGAATATATTTTCAATCTTATCTTCTTTTTGTGGGTCAAAATTTTGAAGGTTGCGTTTTTAAGTTTGATATTTTCACTTTTTTAAAAAAAAAATACTAAAAAGGTACAAACACATAAATAATTATTATTATATAAAATTTATACATTTATTCAACAATATTTTATATTTAATTGTTTATGACTACATATTTGTTTTAACAAAAATTATAATAACGTGAACACTTCAAATTTATTGAAAAAGAGTTTGAAATGCTTACTTTACCTTTTTTTTTTTTTTTTTTTTTAATATATATATAACTTACTTTTTTTATTAAAAAAAAGACAATAAATATTGAATGACATTAATGTTTCTATCCATATGTTTCTTAAATTGACATTGACATTTTAGTTAACATCACCATGGTTAGAATTTAAAAGGTTAAATTAATTATTAAAAAAAACTTTAAAATAATGGATAAAAATGTATATTTATAATAGAGTAGTACTTTTAGGTCATTTTCATTAATATAGGATTATAAATATCTCATTAATTAATTTTGATTGATATAAATTTTATAACTATATTGGGTGTCTTCTTTATATGAAAATTATTATTATTGACAGAAATTAACTTTAATGAACAAATTAAAATTAGATAAAAATGGAATAATTGAAAGCACATAAAATAAAATAAAATGAATTTAAAACTATAGGAATCAAAATAATATTCTAATCTTAACATTACCGATAAACCATGTTACGGGTTATGATGTATGATTGGCCCAATAATTGAATTTGAATGGGTAAAGAATCTTGAATTAAAAACTATTTTGTAGTGTATCTTATTAATTATTTGTTTAGAGCCTTAAACTTGTATGTTTGAACCCCTCAAATATGACATTAAAATCTTTGAATTTTGCTTAAAAGAAAAAAGGGGTATTTTAGGTATATTATTTAATTTCATCCCTACATTTAACAAAAAGTTTTTTTTTTTTTTTTTTTTTTTTTTTTTTTTTTTTAAAAAAAAAGATGGCATGTGGAGTTCTAGTTTGAGCCACATGTATCTAGTTTTTAGTATGAAATACCTAAGATTTCTATTAAATGCAATACAATAATTTAATTTAATTTAATTTAATTTGATCGTGACTATTTTAAAATATTTTAATTATAAAAGTTAAAAATCTAGAATAAAATTTAAAATCTGAAAATATTAATATTTTATAAATAATTAAAATAATTTGTTTTTGAAATAAGTAAAATCAAGATGTATTAAGATAGAACACGAGAAAAAGAAACCAGGTAGCATCAACAACGTTAGTTGTCAAAACAACATAAAAACAAGAAATCTTCAAACTAGTCATATCAAACTATATACACACTATGTTACAACCATTAATATCACATTACTTTTAACCTCAAACTAATTTAAGTTTCAATATGTCAACAATCCACTTAAATTTAGTTCGATAATTATTTTCAAAATAAATATATGGAGGTAGCGACCACAACTTTTCAGTACCAAAAGAAATATTCATTAACTAACTTTATTGATGTTATCGTAAACATAACTGATTAAGACATTCATAACTCATTACACTAATTGTAGTTATACCAAAACAAATCTCTGTCTTCAATAATAAAAAAAAAAATAAATAAAAAAAAAAAAGTTGGAGATTCAAGCTTACAAGATTACACGACTAATTTGCCTCTAGACTGCTTTGATTCAGTATTCTTTTTTATGCTAGGACATCGAATGAAAGAAGAATGAAATGAATAACGGATCAGAAATAAAATGAGGCTTAGTTTATTCAAAAGACCTCAGACCAATAGAGATAATATCTCTGTCTCCGTTTAAGTTCCAATAATGTTGGAGTCTAAGATAGAACTAAAACGATGGTTGCTTGAATGAGAGAGAAAGGAGGAGAGAGAGAGGGGGAAGAGGGAATGTGAAAAAATAAAAAGAGAAAATGGGAATATGGAGATGTGAAAGACATGAGAGAGATCCAAAGGGGAAAAAAAGATAAATATTTAAAAAGGGGGAAGAGGATGGATGGGGTTAAAGTGCATGTGATTGCTTGTGAATACAGTTATACACCTAACCTTTTTTTTTTTATTTTTTTTATTATTATTTAAAATTATAATTATATAAATTAAAATTTTAAAAACAGCTGCACAAAAAAAGGTGGGGTGGTTGCCTGTCCAATACTCCAACTCAAAACAATACCAAATTCCCAAAAAAAAAAAAAAAAAAAAAAAAAAACACAATTATTGAGTTATGGATCTCTTTTGGTAACTTTTATAATTTCAAACTTGTCTTATATGACCTTGTAATTGGAATCAAATTATAAAATTACCCTTTAATTATAAAAATTCACCACTTATTATTACCCTTTATTTTATCTTAAAATATATAAATAATCTATTTTTATCTATCAATTATCGCATCAATTTACTGTAATTTAAAAAAGTTTGAGGAATAAAATTAAGATCTTTCAGAATGGACGGTTGGGATGCAATTGTTTGAAAATTAAAAGATTAAAAAAAGAGTGGTGCGAGTATTAAATAAATTAATGATTAATTACAAGATCCATCGATGAGATTTGTCGGTTGTATATATTTTATTAAAAAAAAAAAAAACCTAAAACTGATCATTATAATTATTTTTTTAATTGAAGTCAGAGATAATTTTATATTTAGAATTATACAAATTACCACTTACCATTGTCCATAATCATTACTTTTTAATCTAAAAATTAATTACTTTTATCAAAAGGTGTATTACAAAATATTTAAAATTATTAAATTGAAGCTAAGATGGATGCGGTTGAGCAACATACTTCCAACTTTATAATTTGTAATTTGTAGAAAAATACCTGCATATAGAAGTTTCATTAAATATAAATTTTATGTAATATCCAAATAATAGTATTATTAATACTTTATTCACTCCACGTCACCTTCGTCTAGAACATTGCTGTTTTTAAATGCATATGATAGCGACGATAGGTTAGTAAAAAATTAGAGTAATATTATTGTAAAAAAACCTACTCCATTCACTCTACCATGCTATTGTCGATAACACAAGTCTTTCGAACCTCTTTATTTCCTTTCAATGTTCTAGTTGCCTCTTTCACCTTGAAATTTTCATCGTAGCCACCCTCGTTGTTGGTTTGTCTAAGCAAACGTTGTACAAAAATTGTGAAATCATTGTTGGAAAACACAAGTGCGAGTCGAGCTACAACGATGTTTACAGATCCAACATGATTCAATCCTATTTAACCGATTCTTAGATTTATATTGAACGATACTCGTTTTAACGTGGAATAATAGAAAATTAACTTGTGTTAAAAGAAATCAAATATTTCAAAGAGAATATATATTAAAAAGAAAAAACCCTTCAACAACTTGATCATCCCACCAATCAATAAGCAAAAGAACACCTTTTACACTCAACCCATTCCCACACCTTCCTTGCATCATCATCACTCAAATCTCTCGCTTTTCTTATACCTCTCCTCATCATCAAATAACTTAAATAAATTTAGAATTATATCAATTAGATATTGTCTGTTTTAGCTCGTTACATATAGCTATCAATCTCACTATTTCAAAATGGATCTACTAAGGAGAGGTGTGTTCACACCCTTATAAGGATCTCGCAATAGAATTATATACCTTCATACTCTATTATAGCTACACAAAAAAAGTTATATAGACTTTTAATAATATCGGGCACTAAGACTTAAAAAAAAAAAAAAAAACTATAAAAATTTTAAACTATTATTCCGGAATTTGCAATGTGGATGTAGATAGATTAGTTTTTGGGATTTGAGTTGGTTAACCACTTCTTTACTTAATTGGTAAAGTTAATAATTAATTTAAACTAATCAGTAGTGAGTAGAATTGGTAAGTATTTTTAATAGTAATTAAGAGGATAATTAAACTTTGTACACACAGCTGTAATGGATATGGATGGAAGGGAAGACAAATTTGTTGGGTAGGCCCAATTATTTTACACTAACTAACTTAAAAGGCCCAATTTCAGATATATATTTTTTATTTAACAAAAGGTGCACAACTCCTCCCACGTGCCAGGGGACAAAATTAAAAGGAATATCCTCCCATCATATATAATTTATATGCATATAAAATAATTTTTTTAAAACTCAACTAAATAGGTCAATTCAGAATATGATTTTCCGTTTAAATGAGGAATAAGAGAGGGAGTAGATAATATATCCTCCCTTAGATAAATGAGATAAAGGGACGAAATTATATTTTTCGTCTCTAATTCGCTTAATATAAATATATTTTCAATACACATTAGTATTTTTTTTTGTTATATTAAACAGTTAATTTTGAAACTCTCCTAATATTTAAGGCTATATTGTGTGTTTTTCTTTAATTATTAAAGACTATATGCTAATATTAAAATTTAAAATTTTAAAAATTATGATGGTATAATATGTTTTTTTAATGAAAATATCAATTTATTAGGATGTATTTATTTATAAGTTTTTAATAAAAATTATATTAAAAAATCCAAACTTTAGACTAACAATATATATATATATTTTTTTTGAATAATAAATCGAGAAAAATTACAGCACACACAACAAAAAAAAAAAAAAAAAAAAAAAAAAAAAAAAAAAAAGAAAAAAAAAAAGAAAAAGAGAGNAAATTTCACACGGATGGAGATGGGGAAGGCTTCTCATCCTCACCCCGTCCCGTGAACATCTCTAAGCTCAACATGCGGTCGTGGCACACTTGAATCTTTTAACCTTAGAAGGAGAAAGACCAATTGAATTATAATCACGACATCATTGATATATCTAAATTGTGCTTGCATGAGTATATCAACTTCATGGAATAAATATGTAATAGATTAGACATGTTTCTTAATCTTTCTAATTATTACTTATATTATGTCAACTTCATAAAAAACTGTCTAATTATTATGGACGGAGGATGGAGATCGAACTTTTAACCCGAGCAACATAATACATTAGGAATGCAGTAGTTGTGTCATATAAAATGTTGTTAAAATGATTAATCAGGCAAAGTAATAAAATTTACTGTTATTTGTGAGTATTTCCAATTTTAGAATAATGGGAGGATAAATTCGGTATAAAATTCAAGTTTTTTTATAAAAAAAAAAAAAAAAAAAAAAGGTTACAGAAAGTATTATTAATTTCTGAGATTTTATTTTGATTTGGTGAATTTTGAAATATTTAATATTCAATTAAAAAAAAAAGAAATTAAAAGAAATAATTAAGATGAGATATTGTAGAGAGAGTAATGTAAGCGCGCAGACCAAACGGCAACTGAATCAACGGTGATGATTTCGTCCGTTTCACTTCCTCACTCTGTGTTTTCCCTCCATAAATACCGACCCTCTGTTCTTCACAATTTTCGTATTCACATTCAAATTCCCATAATCACACAACAATGCCTGCCCTTGCGTTTACTCTTCCTGCTCTTCTCCTCTCCCTCCTCTCTCTCGGAGCTTCTTACTCCGACGGCCAGTGGCAGAATGCTCATGCTACTTTTTACGGCGAAAGTGACGGCTCTGGAACTATGGGTACCTTCTTCCTTCATACTCCTTTGTCTTTAATCTACCGCATTGAATCGTTGATTCGCATTTCTGATTGGAAGGAAAATCTTCTGATATCACTTCAGTGGAATTTTATCGAGAAACCTAGCTAGTTCAGAATCTGCGAATGATCGCTTGAGTTGGTTAATCCAGAATTGTGTGTGTTTGATTTTTTCAATCGGACTTTGTCTGAGATACCTAGATGTGAAGAATGATCGTTTGAATTGAATTGATTATGAGAGTATTCGTGTATTTGATTCAAATGTTGCGTTCGCCTAATTATGAACAAACGGTTGAATTGATGTGAGAAAGAATTGTGTGCTTGATTGATTGATTGATTCAGGAGGTGCTTGCGGTTATGGAAACTTGTTCGACGATGGCTACGGTGTGAACACGGCGGCGCTGAGCACTGCTCTGTTCAACAACGGTTTGAGCTGCGGAGCTTGTTTCGAGATTAAGTGCGTTGACGATCCACAGTGGTGCCATCCCGGGAATCCGTCAATTATCATAACGGCCACGAACTTTTGCCCTCCGAACTTCGCGATTCCGAGCGACAATGGAGGGTGGTGCAACCCTCCCCGTCCTCATTTCGACCTCTCCATGCCAATGTTCCTCAAGCTCGCCCAGTACAAAGCCGGAATTATTCCCGTCACTTATCGCAGGTCAAAACAAAAACGCCCTTTTCTTTCCTCTTGGGATATATTACTAATTTACTATCAATCTAGAGTTTAATTAGACCTAAACAAATGAAAATTTCATGAATCGAGTTGGTTTATTAGTTTTGAAAAACTAGATTGAGCTAAATCAAGTTAAATTAATCTGAAAATACATAGTTTCACTGTACCCAAGGGGCAAAGGGTCCATGACAACGTAGCTCAATTATAGGAAAGAAAATTAGAAATAGTGTTAGCTTGGGAAACTTCTATTAGTACGTTTGAATCTATAAATATGTAGTGTTTGTGAGCACTGAAACATTGATTTTGTGGGTGGAAAGGGTGGGTTGCGTGAAAAAAGGAGGAATAAGATTCAGTATGAACGGCTTCCAGTACTTCAACTTGGTGCTCATCTCAAACGTGGGAGGCGCAGGGGACGTGGTGGAGGTGAGCGTGAAAGGCAGCAGCAACACCAAATGGATGAGCATGAGACGGAACTGGGGCCAGAACTGGCAACCCGACACCGTCTTGGTTGGTCAGTCGCTGTCCTTCAGAGTCACAACCAGCGACCGTCGCACCGTCACCTCCTGGAACGTCGTCCCCTCTAATTGGCAGTTTGGGCAGACGTTCTCCGGTGACAATTTCAGCGTCTAATTTTGACCATCGAATTTGATTATTTTCATTCAAATATGGGGGAATAGGGTTGTGTTAGTGAGCGTAGTTTTGGGAGGGAAGTTTTTGTTTTGGGAAGATGGAAATGATACTGTAGGACGAATAAAAGAGTTGTATTTTTTATGAAAGAAGAGGAAGGTATGACTTTATATATTGCAATTACCTTTAAAAATTTTAAAAATAAAAAATAAAAATATTTCTTTGGTTATATATTTCATTTTATTAGTGATTAAATAAGGAATTAAAGAGATGTGAGAAAATTAGTTAAAGTTAGTTAATAGGGTTTGATAAAGGAGAGAGAAATGGAAGATGAAAAAGATGTTAATAGTTTGTTGAAAATAATAAAAGAAGAGGTTACCTCAGGAGTTTTGGTATTTGGTGACTTGGAAACAGTGCAATCATTTGTGGAACAAATTAAGCTTGCACAACCCAACTTGGCCCTTTCGCTAACTGATTATTGTATGTAAAAAAAGAAATCTTCAATTGTTTTTTCCGAATCAGCATATTTTTTTGTTTTACGCCCCGTAATTCTTCCTCAGCAGGACCTCCCCTACAGTATCGTCACCGCAGTAGAGTTTAACGAGGTAACTGTATGATTTTCCAAGGTAAAAGAGCCCCTGACCAATTCGAAACAAAAATAAATAGAAACAAAAATGTGTTCCTCGTCATTAATATGTTTGCTCGCCAAGAAATTCAAAAACGATAAATTTGGAAATCTGGGGAAGAGAGGGGCTAACTGATTATTGTATGTAATATTCGAAAGGAACGAAACACTTCATCGAAAACTTTTGAATCTCTTTGAATTTCAAAATTCTGTGCTTCATCGGGAAATAAATGAAATGTGACAGAAATGGAAAGTTTTAGATGAACACAACTCTCCGCAATAATATGATATTGTCTCACAATTGCACTCTTGATGACAGTAGACTTATGATTGTAGGACGCTCACTTTCACTGAAAGTGAGCTAAGCTTGAGAAGTATCAACAATAGCTAGCTTAGTATATAATTTTGGATGGGGAAAAATTGACTACTTTAAGCCTAAGCTCTCTCATTCCTCTACTTTAGGCTTTCCCAAAAAACCTCATACCAATGAGATAGTATTCTTTCATTATAAACCCATGAACATACCCAGGAACCTTCCTTAAATCTCTAATTTTGGGGTGTAGGGTTTTAGTTTATAATCAGGACATCGTTTGCATTACAGATTCAATCACTTGTATTCATCTTCTTTCCTTGGAAGCATTTTGAATACAAAACTTTATTTATATCTTGATTGTAACCTGAATTTTCCACTCTATCCAGGAATTTACAAATGATTAAACCTCTTCTTTTATTTTTTTATAAATGATTATGTTTATCCATCTACTTCGGGAATTATTAATTTCACAAGAATTACCTTCTGGCTTCACTATCGAGTGAGTTTTGCTGTGGCTTGTCGATCAACAATAAGACTGTTCACAATACTGTATTCGGGGATTCTTTTTTCTCCATTTCAATTCAGCATCAAAATATCTCATCTTAATCTATGAATAACAACTTTTTTACTTGATCGACCACTCCATAGATTTCGCACAACTAATTTGTCTGTCAACTATTTTTACATAATTTCTCAGTCAAAATCTTAATCTAATCACTCAAAACAGAAATATCCCACAAAAATTTTGAGTTCTTGAAACTTCAAAAACATTCAAATGGCACATTTTAGTCCCTAAATTTTTAATAGATTCATGTTAATCACGAAAACAAATATTTTAGTGGGATTTTTTTTTTATTAAAAAAAAACTTCTGTGATCTTTCCCGTTATGAAATTTCAGAGTAATATTTCAACCATACACACAAAAAAACAGGGAAAAGCGTCAAAATGAACAAGGGAGGGAAATATGAGATGGAATCAGTAGACAAATGGGATAAAATAAACCCATCATCTGTGGATACCATCCCTACGGTTGTCTGGCCGCTGCCTGATCGCCCAAACCCCTTATCCTTTCCCGGAAAAATATATTTCCCCGAGAAAATCAAGAGAGAGAGAGCAATCATGCTTTCGTTATAGCATCCGTTGTTCAATGAGAAAACCCACGAAGAAAAGCTCGTCATCTCATATAAATCACAACGAATGCAAAGAATTCAAACACAGAACGCTTAACGCTCATATCAAGTGCATAGAACATTTAAAGAACCCGTCACTGTGAGAGAAAACCCTAATCCAAAAAAATCGCAAGAAAACAGGAGCGAAAGAAGATTGAAGAAAGTTCAGAAGATACCAGAGCCATCATTAGAAGACGGCGGCACCTTGAATCAATCTTTTCCTCTATCGATCCCTTTTCTCGGAAAGAAATAGATCAGAGTTAACAATTCGAATCCCAATCCAGCTTCTCTCTTCATAATCATAGCCCACGCCTTTGAAAACAAAGAGAGAAGGTGAACTCGAATATTGGCCGATTAGTGAATGAAATTAAAGGAGAATGCAATTCCGAGTGGGGAAGAAGAGATGAAGATCGAATGCTTTCTGGTCTCCCTCAAATTTTTGGCGCTTCGAAATGGAGAAACTGATTTAGGTTTGGAGAAGCGGCGAAACTGAGATTAAATAGGTGAGTTTTGGGCTCGTGCTAGGGCTTCCTTCTCTCTTGATTCACTTGTGATATGACGACATGTCGAACTACTTGGATTGGACTCGTTCTTATGTTAACGGTATCGCTGAACGACAGGTCCATCTCTCTTTGTTTTGTTTGATTTATTCTTAAATTCTAAATTTAGTTTCTAAATTAATTTTGATAAAAGGCGCATCTTAATAACCTACTAATACCTATAAATAGAAAAATATAAATTAATTAAATATTAACCATAAAATAAAATATACTATAAATCATATAAATCAAATAAATACAAACTACCAAAATATAAATTAATTAAATATTAAAAATAAAATATTTTATCCATATGTTGATACATTTATATATCGAACAATAGTTATCGCTTAAATATCAATATAAATACCAATAATAATGTGTCTAGCTTAATGTAAAAGTTAAAATAATATAATAATAACAGTAAATTATTAATTTATATAATTTTTAAAGAAAAATGCATTTTTATTTTAAAATTTGAAAAGATGGTCAAACAAATTTGAATAAAAACATAATTTTTTTTTTTAATTTCTTCATAAAAGTAGTATTTTAAAGGGTTGTTCTTTTTTTTTTATCCAAAGCTGTATTTCAAACAGTGATTTATCTTAATGGTACAGAAAAATATTTTAAATTTTGTTAAGTTAAATAAATACACAACAAAAACATTACGAAATATAAGTAATTGTAATTAAAAAAAGAAAAAGAAAGAAATTTGCATACAAATCCATATATCATTATAAAATTCTAAAAATAAATGTATATTAACAAAATTTTACAAATAATGAATGAAGACTAAAGATTTTATCTTTCTAAGAATCAAAACATGAAACATGAAACATGAAACAGCACAAAATTTGATAAACAAAGAACTGACAGTTACCTTTTACTGGTTGGGGTTGGGGACAGAGGGGTTGCCTAAGAATTTCACTATCCTGTTCAACAAATTCAACCCAAATACAGTTTCTTCACAGTTTACTTTCACAGTTACATGTAGGGGTTCTAAGCATTTTCCTTCAACAGTCAGCGAGACCAAGCACGGGAATGAGTTGCTCAGAATCTCGGCGCTGAACCGTAGGCACAAACCGGTTGCGTCGTCGAGAAAGTTAGCAACTGGGAGTTCCATGGATACTAGGAAAACGTTTGCATTGCCGAGCATCTTCAATGCCAAGCTCTTGCATATGCGAAGAAATTTATCTTCTTCTATTGGTCTCTCACTCTTTTCATCGTTAAGCTTCCCAAGGTGGTCAGTGAATGTGCATCTAAAGGACACAATACAGCCGAGTTAGAACAGCAAAGATATGGGGGCGTTTTTCGTCATCTAAATCATCTACTCATTCTGGATAACTTCCATTCGCTATAGAATTAAATTACCGATTTAAGTTTGTTTGTCTACGTCTAATTGGATGCACAAATACTTCTTCGGGGTGGGGGATTCAAAGTTGTATGAAGTTTGAGAGCACGGGAAATAATCTAGAACATAAAAGTATACAAATAAAAAAAAAGGGGCTTTATTGGAAAAACTATGCCAAGAAGGGGAAAGATGGATCCAAAAAATCCAACTGAAGGATGATATCGTTTGTTCATGCACGTACTTATAATATGTACAAAAATTAAATATCCTAAATGTAATAGCCAAACTCACCGCTAGCAGATATTGTCTTATTTGGGTTTTCCATTCTAGGCTTCTCCTCAAAGTTTTAAAACGAGTTCTAAAACATGTCTGCTAGGGAGAGGTTTCCACACCCTTATAAAGAATATTTTGTTCCTCTCTCCAACGTGGGTTCCTCTCTCCAACGTGGGATATCACACTAAATTATAGTGAAAAGAACCGGTGGTTGGATCTACTAACCTCCTCATGTACTCGAACATTCCTGGTAGCCGAGACTCCTTAGCTGTGAAGGCTTCATTGTCCATCGGAAGTGGCCTGACAAAATATCCAATGTCAGGGTGCAGCTTAACAGGATACATCTTGCCATTACAGTACAAATTTAACTTCATAGGCAAGAGGTGGTGATTGAATTGAGCCTCAAGAGTTCTCTTGATAGTCTGATCAGGTCCCAAAGAGGTAATTTTTTCCATGGAAACTGGCGTCATTACAGTGTTAATAGATGTAGAGGAGCTGAATTAACAAATTTAAAAGAAGTTAGGCACTATAAGGCATGCATGAAAACCTTAATATACGTCTAGATCTATCCATGCTTGATGATATGAACAAAGAACGGGCAAAACTAAATCTCACCTTTCACTTCCGACCCGAACTTCGTCTTTTGAATCTACAACTTTGTCAGATTCCTCGTGGGTCAACATAATTTCAGTCATAGACTCAGTAGAACAGTTTTTGAAGGATGCTTCAATACAAACATGAAGAGGAGATATATTTGAAGTCTGGGATGAAAATGAGTACTCCACCTTCAAGCCATCTCCTTCAGCAGAATCCAGGAGTTGATAGCTTTTGCGTGTCACATGTTTCCCAAGATCACCTATAGATATTCTAGCAGAGGAACTTCGAACTTCAGCCTTCTCTGAGGTACTTACAGTTGCTAAATTTGGCTGTTCATTCAGCCATGATTCTAGGGCGTTCCTTGACATCAATTCATCCAACTCTGAAGAACCAGAGGGAGAGGCTCCATTCTGAATGTTGTGAGAATTGACATGATCAGAAAGTTCAATCAAAGGATCAGCACCATCATTTTCCTGCGGATGATTTGCCCCATAACTTTCATCCCTGCCACTAGAACCACTGAAAGAAGGCTGAGAATTATAACCTGAAGCACTTTCCTCATCCAAGGATCCCGATGATGACTCTGTATTATCTGTCTCATATGAATTACTCTCAACTGCTCCATCTCTTGACGTACTTGCAGCTTTATCCAAGGTGCATGGTTTTGGAAGAGGTTCATAACCTGGCGCTGCATGAAAAACTATTTGTGAAAGAGATCCTGGAAGATAAAATCGATAATTGATAGGTTCGGGTTGTTTTGCTTTTAGTTGTCCTCCAAAAATGCGTTCTGCAAGTTTCCATGACCGATCTCTTGGTTTGGATCGACTCTCTTCAGGAACTTCCATATCCAAATGGGATGACAGGAGCTTTTGAATAAAGGAAGCACGATCACGAATGTCATAATTGAAATCACATTGTCCCACTTCGAGCATATAGCCTAAAATTACTTTAAATGTTAGCATATCTTCCTCTTTTGCTCGCAATAAGACCTACAGAAAAAGCAGAATCAATTAAAAAAGGATATCGAGTAATTAGTATTACTTAATTGAAATTGATTAATTAACAGTAGACAAGAAATAGTTAAATAACAACTTCATTCATCTTATTCTCACACACCACTTGAATAAAATGAACTCAAAATATAAGGAATGGCAGATCCGAATTGCTAAATGCAGTTTTTCAAAATACCTTAACCATTGTATTCAGTATCTGAAGCTTCGTTTCCAGTGCTTCTGAAATAAACGATCTTGCAAGATACTTAGCCACGATAACCAACATCCTTGGAATAATATCCCCCAAAGTGCTATACTCCCCTACCATCCAAATAATCATGGCACGGGCTGCAGGAACCTTGACTGAATCCAAGCCACGAATCAACTGAATAATAACCTGTAAAAAGTGTAAAGAACTTGAAAACAAGATTTTAAATGATATATTATGCATTATAAGGAAGGTAAATATGTCTTACCACCAAAGATTCAAATATTGACGTCGATAGCGATATAGGAATTTCAATTTTACAGAGATATCGATAAAATATTGATAACCACGAATATTTATAACCAAGCACCACTAGTTAATTACCACTATGCCCATACTACTATCCTACTAATATTTCCAATATATCCCTTACTAGTACTCTCACAGTAACACAACCCAACAAAAATGATCATTACATTATTGCATGTTTCCGTAGAAAGTATCCATGCTGCAAGAATCACAATCTTTAACTTGCAGACGGTTTAAAAAACATAAATATCAGCATATGACTATCATGGATATTACTATTATGAGGAAACCATACAAATGAAAGCCTTTATATAAAAAAAACATGCATAAGCTCAACAATTTAAGTCCATAGTATGAGGCGGTATAGCTACTAAGATTAAAATAAAGACAGGGATGAGGAAAGGTTAGAGCTCAAAAGAGATAGATAAGAATGCCTTCTCATAGCTGGCTGGATCTTCCTTTACAATTAACTTGATGGATGCAATTGCCTGAATCAGTACAGCTGCCTCTCCATCCATGGCCCCATTGTCACAAATGGAAGTTTCTGCAATTTTTAATTTTAGAGTTGACAAAAATTAAAAAATTAAAAACTTCAAAAAAAAAAAAAAAAAAAAAAAAAAAAAAAAAAAAAAAAAAAAAAAAAAAAAAAAAAAAAAAAAAAAAAAAAAA